GAAGGAAGGAAGGAAGGAAGGAAGGAAGGAAGGAAGGAAGGGACAGAAAACAACTTAAAAAATGGCAATAGTAAATTTTTCCCTAACAATATTTATGTTAAATGCAAATGGATTAGATACCACAATCAAAAGATACATAGTGGCTGAAAAGACTTAAAAATAAGATCCAACTATATGCTATCTTTAAGAAATTAAATTTAAGGACACACATAGGCTGAAAGTGAAAGGATGGAAAAAGTTATTCTATGCAAATAGTAACCAGAAGACCCAAAGGTGACTATACTTATATGAGTCAAAATAGACTTTAAGTCCAAAACTGTCACAAAAAAGCAAGAACATTTTATAACAACAAAAGGGTCAATCCACCAGGAATAGATAACAATTATGTTATCTATACATTTGATTGTCATCTATTAGATAATATATATCTATTTATCTATCGATCTCACATCAGATCAGCCAGATATATAAAACAAACTGGCAAAACTAAAGGCAGAAATAGACAGCAACACAATAATAGTAAGAAACTTCAATACTGCATTTTCAGTAATAAACAAAACTTCCAGGTAAAAGATCAATAAGGAATCAGAGTACTTAAATAATGCTATAAGCCAAATGTATCTAACAGACACCTACCAAATATTCCAAACAAAAGCAGAATACACACTTTTCTTAAATGCATATGACTATTTCTCCAGGATAGATGACATGTTAGCTCACAAAACATTTAACAAATTTAAATAGACTATAGTCATACCAACTATCTTTTCTGACCAAAACTAAATAAAACTAGGAATCAACAGCAGAAGAAAAAATTAAAAATTCATAAATATGTAGAAATTAAACAACAAACTCGTCAACTACTATTCAAAAAGAAAATTAGAAAATACCTCAAGACAAATGAAAACAGACATACAGCATGCCAAAACTTACATTACGCAGCAAAAGCAGTACTAAAAGGGAAGCTTATAATGCAGTAAATGTTTATTCTGTATTTAAAAAGAAGAAAAATCTCAATCAACTTAACTTTTTAAACCTAAGGGAATTAGCAAAAAAAAAAAAATCAAAGTTAACAGAAGGAAGAAAATAACAAAGATTAGAGGAAATATAAACAAAATAGATAATAGAAAATCACTCAAAAAATCAACAAACAAGAGTTATGTTTTGTAAAGATTAACAAAATTGACAAACCCTTAGCTAGACCAAGAAAAAGAGAGAAAACTCAAATACATAAAATCTGAAATGAAATAACACATTGCAAATAATACCACAGAAATAAAAAGGCTCACAAAGACAACTATGAACAATTATATGCCAACAAACTGGATAACCTAGAAAACATTAGTAAATTCCTAGAAACATATAACCTCTCAAGATGAAATTATGAAGAAACAGAAAGTCTCAACAGATCCATATCTAGTATGGAGAATGAATCAATAATGATAATATCCCAACCAAGAAAAGTTCAGGACCAGATGGCTGAACTGGTGAATACTACCAAACTTTAAAGTATTAACACCAAACATTCTCAAAAATCTTTAAAAAAATTGAAGAGGAAAGAATACTTCCAAACTAATTTGTATGAGGCCAGCATTACCCTGATATCAAAGCCAGAGAGAGACAACACAAGAAAAAGAAAATTGCAGGCCACTACTGTTGATAAATATAAATGCAAAAGTCCTGAACGAAATACCAGCAAACCAAATCCAACAGCACATTAAAAAGATCACAGGCCATATTAAACTGGGATTTATTTCTGGGATTAAAGGAGGGTTGGTTCCACATACAAAAACCAATTAATGTGCTACACCACATTAATAGCATAAAGGATAAAAATCACACAATCATTTCAATAGACATAGAAAAAGCATTTGGCAAAATTTAACACCCCTTAATGATAAAAACTCTCAATGACTGGGAATAGAGGGAAATTACCTCAACATAATACAGGACCTATGTGAAAAGCCCATGACTAATATCACAGTTACTGGTAAAAAACTGAACACTTTTCCCACAAGAGCAAGAGCAAGACAAACTTTCCCACTATCATCACTTCTATTCGCCTTAGTACTGGAAGTCCTAGCCAGAGTAATTAAGCAAGAAAAAGAAACAAAAGGCATCCAAATTAGAAAGGAAAAAATAAAATGGTCTCTTTTTGCAGATGACATGACCTTATACATTGGAAAGCCTAAAGACTCCACTGAAAAAAAAGAAAAAACCTGTTAAAACTAAAAAATGAATTCATTAAAGTTATAAGATAGAAAATTGATATAAAAATAATAGTTTTTCAATACACTAACAACAAACAATATGAAAAGGAAATTAGAAAAGCAATCTTATTTACAATAGCACCAAAAAGAATAAAATTCTT